TCATTCTAACCTATCCTTAAAAAAAAAGAATTATCAACAAATAGTTTTAAGCAATAAATATGACTTATAAATAGTGTAAATTTACATAAAAAAAACAAAAAGAAAAATAAAAAAAAAAATCACTATTTAGTCTCTTTAGTCTGTGCATCAGTTTTCATTTGTGACCAGGGTCAAAAGACTGTTTTTAACATGAAATTAAAATGGGAATATTTAAAAAAAAAAAAAGTCACATTTATGCTTGAAGATGTTTTTATTCCTGATCTAACAGCAGAACTTGTCTTCTAAAACAAGCAAAAAAAAAAAAAAAAAAATCTGAATATTTTGTTTTTAAAAAAAAAAACAAAATCTATCTGTACAAAAACAAAAGTTTTCAACTTTATGAGATTTTTTTTCTGTCTGTTTTTTCTGAGGAGGCAGCAGACAAAAACAAAACAAAAAAAAAAAAAAAGGTCTGATCTATATAATCTATTGAGATGTCCTTCCACTCCAGGCCACCTGGGGGAGAGACTCTGCTCCGGGCAGGTTGCATAGACAAACAGCTTTAACACAGCTGCCTTATTATAGAGCTGCAGAGGGTCACGCCGGAAGTTCAGAGAGATGAGTATTGCCTGTTTTGGTCAGGAAGATGAAAATGGACTCGCCTGCAAAGTTTAAAAAAAATAAATAAATAATTGCGTGATGTTTGTCTGGTAAATCAATGTACTCTGACTTATAAATGAGTTTAGTCACTTACGAGTGTGAACTGGTCGTAGACCTGCATCAGCTCCTCGATTCTATACTGTTCTAAAACCACAAAGTTGTCCAGGTCAGGGCTCCCCCTGCGGGCACAGTCCTGGCACTGCACAACATATGTTTTCTTGCTGTTGCTCTCGCTGGTGACCAACAGCAGGTCAAAAACCTCGACCTGCAAGGGAGCGTAAAAAACAAAAACAAATCAGGGCACAAACAATTGGTCAGATGTAGTCTTTTTCCCTCACTGTACTAAATTGTGTATTTAGCCATCTTTGGTAATATATTGGTTTTTTTTTTTTTAAAACCCTTTCATACCAACTGACATTTAGAAAAACTTGCTAAATA